GCCGACAGATCGACCAACAACAATAACTAAAACAACCGCCATAAAACAAACTTGCTGCCGCTGCGGTTATGTTTTCGCATCTGTTAAATGAACACAAAGGCGGTGGCTTTAGCTCTGGCTGCCACTTCATCTTACTTAAAACTCAAAACTTGTACTGAGAATGTTTTAAAAATAAATCTAAAATTAATAATATTCATTAAAAATTCTCTCATTATAATGAAATTTAACAATAATTAAGTAATGAAATATTTAAAAATATATAAAGTAGCTTGTTAATAATATTTATTATCAGCTAATATCAGCATAAACTTATTCTTACTGTGTACTTGACTCGCCAGTCTCCTCGCAACTTGGGCGTGGAAGTGAACAGAAGATGCAGATTGAGCTTGCCGCAATGAATATTGATGCTGATGCATAAAGACAGTCAGACAGAGAGAGAGAGAGATAGAGAGAATAAAACCGAGGGGGAGCTTAAAGATATAAGCGATATGAGCAGCATAATTATAAAACTGACCGATCCGGCCTGCTTAGTAGGCAAAAAATGTTGTCGATGCGATAAGCAATCCAGAAGATACACACACACACATACATACTTTTCTTTTATAACTCCTAGATACTAATAATGCCCTTTGGTTAGCCCCAATGATGCGTAATTCATTTTACAGACTAACTTCTTTGCTTATGATCTAATGTAAATGAATCATTAATTGATCCAGATATGGTTCTTTTTATAGGCATATTGCATATAAGAAATACCCAACATTTATCTCTAAGTTGGATTAAACGTTTGATGACAGCGTTAAGCTATTGCTTTTTAGATTTTCTAGACCAGAAAAGCTTCTTTGTAAGCCTTAAACTTTGAACTTATTTTCTTAATACTTCTAATTAGTAGATTTTTGCTTACAGCTTTTCATTTCCAAATAATTTATGACTTACAAGACAGTCATATTAATTATGGATATCACTGAAAATGATTCAAAGGCAGTACATTTTTCTGTTTTATTATCTATTTGCAGTTTAAAAAAAAAATAAGCCTTAATAATATAAATCAGCTCATGACTCTTTTGTAAAACAAATTTCTGTATTTCCCATAAATTCCAATGAAAATCCTTTGGGTAAATCAGTGTTTATAAGCTCTATCAGTTGAGTTCCATAAAATATATATATGTATATAATGCATTTCTTCATTAATGTAAGCCACTGAAGTACACATATATATAATATATAGTATATGCAATGCAAGGAAACTCAATTATCTTGTGTATGATATTTCACTTATCACTTACAAAAGACCCTCCTCGACAGTCGACAGTCAACAGTCGGCCATAATTCACTCACTTGACTCACTTTACTTCGCACTAACTGAGAGATCTCCTCTCGAAAGTGTCACAAAAGAGTTTGGCGGCTTGGAGTTCAGTTTGTGGGAATATCGAGGAACTGGTTTCTCTGTAGGGCATCTTCCGAGACTTTTTTTTTTTTCATACGTAACGAACTGACAATAAATCGGCGGCATATATATCTGCAGACACATATAATATAATATTGACATAAAAAACTGTTACAAAAGCAAATCAAATGCGGCAAAAGGCAAACAAAAAAGAAGCGTATAAAAAATTGTCCGACATATTTCATTTTTATGAATGAAGAAACAAAAAAAAAAAAGTAGCAGCAGCAGAAAGAGCAGGGCAAATAAACAAAGTTAACAATAAAAGAAAATGATTCATCTAAATAAAATGACGAGTTGCTGGGGATTGTCAATGAACAATACGCAGAAGCTACGCCTGCCAAATGCTAAAAAATTTTGTTAAAAATCGGAAACTATTTAGCACCGATTCGTGGAAATACAAATATGCTAATGCTTTTGCCGGTTTTGTTTTTTTTGTTGTCTTTATTTTTGTGTGTTTGGCCTATTGATTATGTAAATGAGTTTCGAGTGGAATAAAAACGAACTGATATGGCGCATGCGCAACGCGATTATATAAGGTAAACTCATAGACCCCCTAATGAAGCGTCCATCAATCACAAAAAAATGGTAAAACTCATCAAATGATAAAGTAAAACAATAAACCACTATTACTCATAACCATTAAGGTACTCAATTTTTGGGATCGTAGGGTTCGGAAATGATATTGCTTATCTTTCCAATATCAACAGACAGTAAACACTTGTTCCGCTTTCAGTTGCGCTGTGGTTTCTGCGGTTATTGTTTATGTTTTTTCTTCTTCTTTTTTTTTTTTTTAACAGCATTCCACGTAATTAATGCAATTAATAAACGATTTGTACGCATTCCGCTTTATGGGCGTTAACCGATGCCAAAACAAGCAGAGCAAAAAAGTAAATTACTAGTAATTGATAATGATCAGCGTCGGTGTTATCAGGCGGTGTTTTTTTTTTTTTAGCCGAGAGTTCGAGGTGATCGTATTAGCTTTTTGGCGGCCCACTATCATTTTCTGGCCTCCGGGGAGTTCAAATTTGTTCACCGTGAAGAAGCCGCTAACATGTGTAGTTCAAATTTTGTATCGATAAGATAAGTTATTTGGGGGATAACTTTCAGCGGCACGTTTTTCCAGTTTTTATTTACAATGCAATATTTTTGTTTAATTAGGGATCGGATCGTTCGGCAAGGGTTTACTATATAGAGTTTGTTTGGCCTGGGTGGGGTTTGGGTCTCTCTCTATGGTGGCATTGTCTAGGTTGTTCACATCGCTTTATACGAGGTGTGTTCAAAAAGTAAGGTGACTCTTCAAATTTCGCGAATTTCAAATTTTTCGATTATCGAAACCTTTTAGAAGTTATACGAGGTGTGTTCAAAAAGTAAGGTGACTTTTCAAATTTCAAATTTTTCAAATTTTTCGATTATCTTCAGTTTTGGGAACAAGAAAAAGTCACATGGGGCCAAATCCGGTGAATATGGTGGCTGAGGCATTATTGTGGTGTTGTTTTTGGCCAAAAAATCCAAATCCTTTGATCCATATTTTTCGATAGCAAAAAATCGCCGAGCTCGCAAAACAACTTGTAACTTTACGCCTCTCACAACCAAACAAAAGAGGATGTTCCATTGAAACTTGGTACAGATGTTAGGGAAGAGTGTACCAATATAACAAAACAAAAAAATCGATAATCGAAAAATTTGAAATTCGCGAAATTTGAAGAGTCACCTTACTTTTTGAACACACCTCGTATTGACTCGCTTGTATAGTTTTGGGCAAACAAATTCGGGGGATATATCAATGAACTAATGAACCTGGGAACTTGGCAAAGCCTTGACCAACGATAACCCTAGATGGGTTTAGATTGGTGTACTTAATGGGGAGTGTCTGTGATAAGGATGTTTAATATTGGAGGTTCTTTTTTAAGCAAATAAAGTTAAGGTTTCATAGGTAATACAATATTTCATTAAGTATTCAATAACCATTTTGCAAAGTGCTTTGATTTTCAGTAATTTAAAGGAGTTAAAAATGTTTTGTTAACCTAAAATGCCTTTTTTAACCCCAAAAAATCACCTCTTTAGCACCTATACTTCTTAGCTTAATAGTTAATTTTAACCCATTTGTTATATTTAAAACCCCATTAGTTGTTCCAAGAAAAATCTGCTCATCTTTTTGTCAGTTTTCTCCTTCTCATATATGTTATAGATTAATGTCTTGTGTGGGTAATTTACGGCATTTAAGGTTCCCACCTCTCACTTAACCACTTTGGATTTCTCCGTTTGTGACAGTTCATGCGGGTTCCATCATCGCTGGCTTATTTCTTCGTTTCAATTAACACAGAGACTTGAGACTTTTCAATATTTTTCATTTTTATTTTAACGCTATCGTTGCACTCCCTTTTCGAACAGATATTCATTCTAAATGCAACACTTATCGGTCTAAGCTGTCGTTTCTCTCGTTAGTCTGGCTTTTTTCTTCCCCCCCTTTTTTTTTGTTTCTTTGGGGCAATTCACACCACATTTGAAAAAATGAAAATAGAGCCAGACAACACACACACACAGCCATGCCATCCATCGCATTATAGTATAGTTCATTGTCAAGCGATTTTGGCCCCCACTTCGCCATCTCCTCGTGCATTTATTGTTGGATCTTGAAGTTTTCACTTTTTAAGCGCCAGCTACGGAGAGATGTTGCTTTAAAAGCATTAATTGATTGAGTTGAGTTTTATTTTTTTTATATATTTTTTTCTCGTAAAGCAGCCGCCTGCCTGCTGCCTTGCTGCTTGCTGCTTGGCTTGGCTTGGCTTGCCTTGTCTTGTGTTTGGCTTTTTGGTGCTGGCTTTGGTTTTTTGGTTTTTGGTTTGTTGCTTGCTACCTCTATCGAGTTGTGTAATGTGGACGCTTAGAGGAGGTTGTGCCAACCAGTTTTTCTTCTTCCCCGGCCAAAGTCACCATCCAACTCAGCTGCAACTGGGGGCCCCGCAGACCTGGCTTAACCATTTGTTTCGAAAAATCATTAGGCACGCCAAAATGAAAGTGTGAACAGAGAGGAGCTCTGCTCTGACTTTCTTTGCCGGCCCCGGCCAGGCGATGTGATTTTGATTTGGATGGGTAACAAGCGGCCATCATCCAAGCGGTTCACCTGAGAATGAGTCAGTGCACTTCTGTAATATTATAAAAGTAAAAAACAAATAGCAAGCATGACTAACAATTGCCCTGCCAGCTCAACTGGCCCAAAGTCATTTATTTGGCTATGTGATAACAGATCTTGGCAAATATTTATAAAAATCAACAATCATCTTTGGTCACTGGCACTGACAAAGTTCTTAAGTTCATAGAAATTTGAAAGATTTTTAGTTTACTTTTAAAAATAAATAGTGTTAAAAAAGTTTGTTAATGGAGTTACTCAAAGATAAGTTTATATCGCAGTTTACATAACTTTAAAAATCTTTATTTATATGAAAAAAAAACCTAGAAAAACTTCACCATTTCCCACAGTGCACTTTGATATCTTTAAGATTAATGTACCGACATTCTTTAACAAGAACCTTTCTCTTTTCCACCATTGCAGACTCTTCGGTTCGCTGCCGAAATATACACAGCATCTTTTAGTTTTACTGTTCGGGACATTCCGGGTAATCGCTAGCAATGCGGCCCACGCCTCCACCGGAATGACCAGCGAGGCGCTGGGCGTGTCCGTGGCCCCCAGTTTCTTTCAATCCTGCGTCAGCGATGGCAAGACCGCTCGCATGGAAGATGTGCTCAAGTTTAAGGTTAGTTATGGTTATATCTATTATTTTTCAATAATTTTTTAAATGAATTTAATTTACTATAGGTCTCAACGAAGATCATGCAGAATATAATTGATAAGTTTGCCACACATGACATTTTTGGGCGCGATAATTATGAGTATTATGCCCGCGTCACTGGACGCATTCTCAAGGTGCAGGACGAGTGGATATGCAGTTTCCAATATCCACCACCGCCACGTGGCAAGTTGGCTCAACAGAAATATGCATGTGAGTGGGGGAAAAGGGGATTGAAGTGGATAAAGAAATATGGAAGATGGAGTTTGGCTAAGGAGAAATATTAGAGAAATTGTAGGTTAAAACTTAAAATCTTAAATTAAAAAACTATTTTCATAGATAAAGACAGAATAAATTGTAATTTTTTGATGTAAGAAACCTTTAATTTGGTTTCAAAGTGTCATTAAAGACAAGAAAAGTTGTTTGGCTAAACTAATTGTAATCAATTATAGCCCTTAATTCGATTGCACTTAACCAACTTTGTTCATGAATCAGTAAGAAGTTGACTCATTCTGTCTAGCTTGTTGTTCCCAATCGATTTATTGATTTATTTAAAAAAAAAAAACTAAAGAACTATCCAAACTACCTCTTCTATATAGACTTTTCCATCTAGAAACCTGACATTCCAAAGATTCTCTTTTGCTAATAACTTTGTTATCGCTTTTCCCACTTCGAACAGTGCAACATTCTTTGGAGGCGGAGAAGACCTGGTTGCAGTGCCAATGCGAGCGTTGGGGCTTACGTGAGTACCTGAAATGTGTTTACCTTACCACCTATCCGTAGATATACCTAGATCCATACTCTATTGTGCTTTGCTTCTGGATATCTCCAACACCAACCACCTCTCTCTCTGTCTCTTCTCCACACTGTCCGATCTAACTTCTGTCTGTGTTTGGGTGTGTGTGTGTGTGTGGGGGAATGCGATCAATAAGCATATATATATATATATCTGATATCTGATAAGCTCATCTTTGGTCATCTGGTGTCCCGAAAAAGATAAGCCTTTAGCCCCCCACCCGCATTGCAACATCCATATTTCTATAGCTTTGTGCCGCATGCCCAGTAGAGTTGTTTGTATCTCCTACCACCCCCCCACCCTATCATTCTGACGAAGTCATCCAATGCATTTGTTAACCCCCTGCTGACCTAATTTAGTGGCCCAGGAGGAGTCCCGCTCGACACCAGCCCTGCTGACCAGTTCCAGTTCAGCGCTGGAGAACAGTGTCCTGTCACTGGGCGTTTCCCCGGAGCATTCGTTCATCGAGAGCTGTGCCCGTTTGTCGGTTTCGCTGGAGGGACCTGGCATTTATGCCATGACCTCGTCCCCATTGCCGGCGAAGAGGAACGGGAATGGCAATGGCAATGCCACGGACTACGATTACGATGACTATGCCGACGATGATGAGGACAACAACGATGAGCTGGATGGAGTGCATGACTTTGGTGCCGAGTTGGAGATCAGCAGTATAGCTCCGCCGCAGGGAAGTCGCGGTATTTATCGGCCCAGGCAGCGAACCCAGCAGCCGCATCACTACCAACAACATCAGCAGCAGGTGCAGCTGCAGCACCAGCGGGACTACGATGACGACGACGACGATGACGAGGATGAGATGACTTTTGTGAAGCGACGCTATCGGCAGAACAAAAAGAAGCCGGCAGCGCCGAGCAGCAGTCATCATCAGAGGCGATTGCGCACGGGCACCAAGAGCCTCGATGGAGGTGGAGAGAGACGTGCCGCCGCATCGGGATCAGCAGGAGGATCCGGAGGAGGAGTAGGTGGTGCTTCGGGATCAGGAGTTGGCAATCCCACGCCACCCAAGCTCAAGCAGCGAACATGCAGCCGCTGCAATCGTGGCATACGACACAGCAGCTCCTGCAGCTCCAATTCGGCTGGAGCAACTGGCTCTAACTGTGGAGGAGGCAATGGTTCGGGCGCCGGTAATGGAGGAGGCGGCGAAGGTGTCATGACCATGGAGGAGCTGAGAGCCGTCAATCGATATGCGGAGAGCACCAAGAGCCTCTCGTATCTGCCACAGGTGAGGGACGAGTTCTTGCTGGGCTCACGCATTTCCGTTTGAGATCTTGCGACCGTTGTGTAGAACGTACCATCTATATATATATATATCTATATCTATATCTATAGATCCTAGGTCTAACCCCATTCGCAAATGCTCGAATTTATTTTAAGTTTTGGTTTCTTTTTTCCAGGAAATGAAAAAGAATCAAGAACCAAGAATATATTAATTTCTAAGTTAACTTTTTTGATTTCTCTTCTTTTTTCCGTTGCGAATTTTATGATTTTGATTTTGATTTTGATTTATTGTAATTGAACTCTTTTTGTAATATCCTAATTTAATTACTTTTGTTCCTTGTGTTTGAATCTTGTCAATTGGAAATGTTTAATCCCCTTTTAATAATCTCTCTAATCTCTAACTATCACTCACTCCTACCTTGACTATCTCGCTCTTAACTCGAATCACTTAGCCAAATTGCTCAAAATTGTTTCATTTTCTCGAAATGTTTGCCTAGTTTTATATTTCTAATATTTTCATAATCTAACAAAAAAAAAAACGATTTGCGCCTGCCAACGAAAATCAACTACTACTTACACAACAACAACAACAACTACAACAATCAACAACACATTTTAAGACATAAGAAATTGATGAATCTACGCCCTCCACACCCCCTTTTAAAAAACCACCAACCCCCCGCATTAAAAAACTGTACAAAAAGTACAAAAAAATTAAAATTCACCAAAAAACTCTGTACAAAAAAGGACTAAAAACGGAGCAAAAAATTACTCATTACTTTTTATTTTACAATTTACGTTTATATTTTAATTTGATTTTTGCATTTTAATTTTTGTTCAAACTTCTCTTACAAAGAAAACCCCCCCAAAAAAAAACGAAAACAACAAAATGTTAAAACATTTCAACAAGAAAACATAAAAACATAAAAACATTTTATAAATACATTTTCTATGCCCAAAGACCTATTTTCACAAAATAAAAAACGAGTGCTATATAATGTTGCCACTAGCAACAGAACAAAACTGAACACCAAATTGCGTATTTAATAAATCAAAACGAAGCTTGGGAATTGCAAATCTAAAAAAGGCAATAAGAGAAGTTTTTTTTTTTTATAAAAATTGGTTATAAGTTTGTGCCTAGAAGATATTGGTTATTGTAAATATTGTGATTGGAAAGCTTAAGTTAGTATTGTCAGAAGAAGGAGTTTTAAAGTTTTTAGTAACTTCAATTGAAAGTTAAAGCGGGGAGTATAGTTTATAGTTTAATGGATCTGTGGATTCCCTTCCTAATCAATCTATTGCGGAACCAAAAAAATGAACTTGGATCAAGTAACGCAGAAGTATACAAAAACCTTTTCCAAAACTCTTGACACCGTATATATAGTGAATGTAGTTATCTTTAGATATAGCACACACCATGTACACCTTAGTTTATTGATTTAATTAATGTTCTCAAAGTCTTATCATTTGCTGTACTACGAAAAGAACAAAACAGAAATGTGGCATATCTAGAACACTCTGTATCATAAGCTACCGATATGATTTCATTTGATTTTGTTGTAATCGTTTATTTGTAATATATATATATATATTTATTTATTTATTTATAGACACCTAAGTTACCTGAGAATATTGTTAACTGTGCACCAACCACTTTGATTTGTTGTCGCTTGCCTCTGTCTCTTGTCTATGTAGCTTAGAAGCCTGCCTTTGTTTTGCTGCCTGTCTTGTCTTTAAGTTGTGTTTTCTGCACTCTGCATCATATTTGTATTGTAGTTAATAATACTTAACAAATTAACATTTTAGTAGATAAGAAAAACGATAAAAAAAAATGAAAACACAAATCATGCAAACATACTACAAAACACGAGCCGAAAAAAGCTCCAAATTGCATTTGTAATTAATCTGATTTTTGGCAGAATTTATATTCTTAAATGTTGTGTTTCCACCTCAAGATAAGCAATCGAAGAGCTTGTTGGCGGTGTTCTCACTGAATGTTTCTACCTAATTATAATATTTTGTGCTTGTTACGAATATCAAGGGTATTCATGCTAAAGTTTAGTTGGTCTAAGGATCTTCTTTTTGCATCTATAATTTTATGGTGAATACCCTCTACAATACTCTATTCACACTCATTTTGTTTAATCTTGCACTTTTTCCACTGCGCTGCTGAATTTGCTGCATTTTATATAATCTCACTAAAAAAAAAACAAAAACATTAAATTGTTAACCCATTTTCTTTTGTCAAATATTGTTCTTTTTTGAAGAATTTTTGATTTTGCCTTTTTAAAAATTTTAAATTAAGTGAATCAAGCAAAAATTACAGCTAGCTAAAACGAAAATTTCAATTGCCAAAAACTCTAATGCGATAATTTTGAATCCCCCCTCGTCTTTCCACCAACAACAACTACACGACAACAACAACATCAACCAACCAACAACAACAATAAAAACATATACGAAATGGAACAAAAAATGTATATTAGGTCCATGAACGCCAAACCGCACGCATGCGCACTCGCTCCGAGTGGTTCCTGGGTCCCCGGGATGCGGTGGTCACGTTGCAATTGCCAGCGGATACGTGCAGCAATTGTTGTTTGGCCGCTGCCGCTGGATATTTGGGAGGCGGCAGCACCAGAGACATGCGGCAGGCACAAACGGAGGGAGAAAGGAATCAGGCGGCGTTGCTGTATCACTTTTATCGCAGGCAGCAGCAGCAACAGCAACAGCAGCAGCAACAACGGGAGCAGCAGGAGCAACACTATGACGACATGATGGACACCGAGGACAGCTACGGACAGCAGAAGGAGCAACAGGAGCAGCAACAGCAACAGATACATTCCAAGGGCCTCTTAAGGCCACCGCCCATGCAACATCAGCAGCAACAACAGCAACGTCGCCTGCTGCTGGACGTCAATTCGGGTAGTTATAATGCAGGACTAACTACGCTCACCAACAACACTAATTTCGGCGACGATCTGGCCAACTATCTACACGAACCGCTCGACAAAACATGCTACTATTCCAGTCAATGCTTGAATAGGCTGCAGCCTCCGGTTGTCGTCGTCCGGGATGAGCAACTGGTGGAGGTCACCGATAGCGATGAGGATTCTTTGGATGGCGGTGGCTTGCATACATTGCAGGCCCATGAGTTGCAACATCATGTGGAGCCTAGACAGGCGGCAATGTTGCTGCTGCGTCACTCAACTCCGCGTCAGCAACATCGCAACAGCAATAGCTCATCCATTTATCAATCCTTTGAGGTGACCTCCACTAATCTCACCCAAGGCAATGACAACAGGAGCCGCCACAACAATAGCAACAATAACCACCACCACCACCACAACAACAACAACTTTGCCACAGTCATTTTCAATGTTTTGGACTTTTTGTTCTGATAAAAAAAAAAGAGAAAAGCGAAAAACAGAAAAGCGAGCTGAATGAAATGTCTTGTGTTTTGTAGCTACCAAATGCATCCAATCATAAATTTTGCTTATGTCCAACTAATGCTAAACATACTTACTTTTAAGATTTTAATTTATTTTTTCGTTTTGTTAAAAGTAATTCAAAAGTGTGCTTATCATGCCTAAGTATTAAGATGGGATAATCCAATTTGATTGTAATTTTCCCTAACCAAGCATGATGATCGCAAATTTCTTTGTTGCCCATCGGAATTTTGTTAAATTTATCTTTTAATTTGTATTTGTTTTTGATTTAGCTATCAAATACTTTGATTTGATTTAATATTTATTTGTATTGTGTGTGTACTTTTGCTCTCATTTATCATTTATCCATTTATTCATATTATTATTATTATTATTTTGCTATATAACAACAACAAATAAACTTTATTATTTATTTATACTGTGTATAACCGAAAATCAAAATCGAAAGATGTTGAAAGCTTTTTGTGTTGTTTTTTGTGTATTTACACTCGATACACACACCAGACATGTGATACATGCATAATAATTACGTGTGTTGTACTTGTTGTTGTTTGATTTTGCGTACTAACCTACCCCCCTCCGAGTTTTGTGTGTGTGTTTTTTGTCCACATTTTGTACATTTATTTGTTAACGCTTTTTGTGAGTTGTTGTCGTCGTCGGAACGCCCACAAAGACGGCCAGCAGCTGCAACAACCACACAGCAAATACAACAGTAGTCAGCCATATATATAACATCAAGAAAGCGCCTCAAACTCGAACCACAAGAAAAAAAAAACCAACACCAACATTTATTTGCTACTCCAAGACCTCAGAAAATTGAAACAAAAGTAACTCATCATCAATATTATTTCTCCTCTTTTTTTCTTTGTCCAAACTTTATGTCCGAACCCGAATTTTAGTTGGCAACATCCGTTTGAGTAACAGCGCCGAGTCCATTCAGTATGCAGCCCGACGACCGGTCGCCAGTCTTGGCCTTAATCCCAACCTTGGAGGCGCCACCAACACCACCCACAATCCCACCACCCGACGGCTGCTCATCAATGTGCCGCGTCAGTATCGATCTTCGTTGCGGCGGAACAAGGAGAAGCAGATCGGCGGCAATAGTCAAAGCAACAGTAGCAATAGCCTGGGCAGTGATCAGTTGACCGGGAATCCTGGATCAATTGGAGGATCGGCCGGTGGTGTACCCGTTCTAAACAAACCTCTGCTGATGGTGGGTCTTCTACCGGGTGCCGAGCAGCCACCGTCGGTAAGGAATTCTATTGCCGAGTGCGGCATCTCAACGCCGGACGCAATGGATGTGGGTGTAGAGTGCAGCACCACGCTGAGCTTCAAGCCGCCGCGGCTGTAACAAGGACAACAACCCATTGAAACGAAAGCTAAGGACAACCAGGACACCTCGGCATATAACTATGTTAAGATCTAACCATTTTTTAATACGTATATACATACTTCCAACACAAGAAATAACACACACAAAAATTTGAGGTGTCAAAGAAATCTGCTGAGGTTATGAGTCGAAGGAGCTGGTTGTAAACGATGCAGCGGTTAGCTTGCATCTGCTTAACCATTTTTAAGAAGTTCTCACTTAAAAGTTAAATCTTAAGAGATTTCCTTGACATCCCAAATAACATCAAATATTAGGTTATGGTAAACGATATATGTATTTAATGTGTATAGCAAGAAAAGGCTGATTTTCTTTAGTTAAACAAACAAACAAAACAAAAACGAACGAAGAAAAACAAAAAATATTTACAAACTGAAAAAACTAACTATATTATGCAACAAATTGCCAAATTTATATTCAGCATTCATTTCGTTGTGTGTATTAGGTTGATTTTACTTTATGTTTTAGCCAAGAATCTCTCAAACTTGAACATTGTCAAGGTAAAAATAAACGAAATTTTCACCTGATCGCAAACCGAAACAACGATACAAAAAAAAAAAAAAAAACCCACAAGAATTTCTTAACTCTGTAGCATCTGAACAATCCAAAACCAATCGATCGACTCTCTGTCTATATAAGAACCATAATAAATGTTACGTCTAAGCTATCCAAATTTAACATAATCAAATGAATGTGGAGCTCTTTAAATGCAATCATAGATCCAATTACAGATATACATTCATTTTTGATACAGTCAAGTACAAAAGCAAAACAAAACAAAACAAAACAACAAGAAACCAATCGAAAATATCTAATATAAATTCTACATTATTCTTACAAAGATACAAACAACAAAAACTTAGCATTTAATAACTAGTTAAGCGTTTTCAAATTATACTTGTAACTGCGAAAGGAAATCAATTTGTAAATCGGATGTTATTTCAATGATGTTATCGTTAATAGTGCTATGTGTACATATATACGTTAATGTCTATGTGTCCAAGATATATCTAATATGTATATTAACTACACGATATGCTAAAAACAACAAAAAAAACAGTCCTATCCCGCGGGGAATCAGAACTACCGAAAGCAACAGAGTTGATAATTCCATTTTGCATAGAAAGAAACTGATCTAGCGAATTCCTCTATGAATAGTTCTATATAGTTCCAAATCGCGTTTAAGGTCTGCAGAAGATCTATTTCCACTGCCCTGACAGCCAAAAAGAAGAGTTCTGTTTCCCCTTCATCCCAGACTTGGAGATTTTTCAGTTTTTAATGAAAAATTCTTTGCGAAGTTAGAGAACGAAACAATTTTCTCGCTGTGTTTTTGCCACATTCGGTGTGTGTTTGTTAAATTGAATTTACAAAATATTAATCTAAATGTTAGCTAAGGAAATAAAACGAATGTATAAGTAAAAATCACATCTTTGGCCATTTCATACCTAGTATGAAACGCATCCATTAAATATTTAAAATTAGTACATAATGCTCTGAATGTTGCCCAGAATATAGGAATGAAAGATTCAAGAAACACCAATTTGTTGATTAGCAAAAAAAAAAAAAAAGAAAAAGAAAAGAATACTTTATTGTATCGACATCATTTTTATTGCTGTATATGGTAGGCTATAAGCTATAAAATATATAAGTGTATAAATCTTACAGAGTACGAGTTCGAGTGAAGTACATTCATTAGCCACTAAATACTATTACATAAATATAAATCGTATTGTAAAAATGATGACGGAAAGGTTTAGATATACGTTATATTTTAGTGAGCAGGATCTGTTCCATATATTTTCAAGTGCAAAATGCATTTCGAATACATTTTTCAAATATTTTGTAATCAAATTTTATTTTACTTTTTATTTGATTTACCCCGTTTTCTGAGACATTTTCCATTTTGTGAAAGTTGCACTTTAAGAAATTCTGTATACAAAAACAAAAACAAAAGAGAAAAGAATCATACATATAATGTAACTAATTACTGAATGGAAAGAATAAATATTTAAATTGAAAAATTAAGAAAAGGGTGGGCCTGGCTTAAGTTCTCTTAAATTCTAATCTTACGAACACATATTTGGTCAGAAGTTGTTGGTATTTGTTAACCCTAAGCTATAGCTGACAAGTAACATGGGAGATTCCAAAAAAATTTTGTAGTAATATAAATTATTCAGCTTTGACTTGCTGAAAATGATTCTTCAAGTGATGATTCCGCGGTGATGAGTTAATGCTTAGTAATAAAAAATGGTTGACAGGGAAATGATGGTTTTTGAAATTCAGTTCACTTTATATACTTTTGATAGGTCTTGAAATCTTAAACTATGGTTTTTAAAGCTCCAGCGATGGGATTTGCTTCTTGAAAGTTACTTTCCAGCTTATAAACTTAGGGACTTTATTACCAACCTAATTGTACAGAGCTCTGTCCACTAAAATGCCATGCTCAATAAGAAAACTCTCGACGTCGGAGGCGAAAAAGTCGTCGCTGAGGTCATCGGTTAGCCGCACAAAGTTCCCGATGACCGCTTGGGCCTTATAGACCAGCAGCGCTGGCAATCCTTTGGTACGAAAATCTCGGCTCATTCCGGCAACGGAACTGCAGATCTTGGCGAACTTGATGGACGGATAATCACTGGCCAAGCTGTCCAGGCATTTGTTTAAAGTGGTACAGGCAGCCAGCTGCCGTTCATAGATGTGGATAATGATGGTGGTGTGCTTATTCTCCTGTTCCACGCAGGCGAGGAATTCGCCATGACTGGTTAACTGCTGAACCTGGCCGAACTGCTGATTGTGTCCCGTCTGTCGAAGCATCTCGGCCATTCGCTGCTTTTGGTACTGTTGCAGGAAGTCCTCGCTCATAAGTTCATCTAATTCTGCATCCAACTCTTCCTGCCGCTTGCGCTCCTCATCCTCCGCCGATGTGGCTGTGGTAATGGTGAGCTTTTTGGCCAATGCCAGACGCTGGCGCTCCGTTTCATCACGACGCTCTGCCTCCAGCTGCTTGAATCTCTGCCAGTCCTTAACAACACCCTTGGGACCCGTGTTCGTGGAGCCCTGCTGACGGAACCCGCCCGCCGGAGTCGCATCCGGATTTGTGTCAATGGTCAGGCCAGATGATCTGGATTTACCAGAAGCTCCCTTCGATTCGTCACCATCATCGCCATTGTCTTCGCCCTCGCTGCTGCTGCAGTAGTACTCAAGCTTCTCGCCTAATAGTTTGTCCTCCAAAGTGGCCATGATGGGTAATTTCCGAGTTTTTACTATTAATTTACAATTTAATTAGTCTGGATTAACCAATAACAACAATATCGATAGGTTGACTGTAATAAGGGTATGACCAATCGATGTTTCAATTGCGATAGTACCTGATTTCTGGTCACACCATAAACTGTGTTTTTAAATTGTTAGTATTTAAGTATATTTTGTAAGAAGCCCGCCAAATTTCAAACTGTTTATCATCTTCCGTTTCTTAATAGTTTAATTAGTGTTTTGCTTCTTCAATTAAGTAAAAATATAACGGTGAATTGAAATATTCATTATTCATAGATGTTACTCATATATTTGAAACTGTTTAATATTACATAGTTTTTAATTATTGCTCATGCATATTAATGTTTGAAATTACATTACTCATAAATGTTACTCATATATTTATTTGTGTTCGAGATTATAATCTTTAAGTCTTTATAAATCAGTACCTAGTTTTATGCGTTTTGCGAATTACATTAAAAATTTCCTTTAAATTTTCCGACACAGCAAAGTCGGGCATTATTTGTTCCATGCTATTAAAGTCCGCCTTTTCCAACTCATCGCATGAATCATCCGAACCAGATTCATCAGCAAGTGCCAATCTTTCAGCAAATGAAACTATACCGCACCAGGCACGAAAGTCCAAGTCCCCAGATCCTTGCGGGTCGTATCCCAACATTCTTAATGTACCTTGGACATTTTTCTCAGTGCCATGGAATTCCAGGACATCTTCAAGAGCTTGCGGAAGGCTTTGCCAGACGAGGGTTCTTTCCCTGTATTTATATTCCGGTAAGTCATCATTCCCAATAGCCGCCAACTCACTTTCCGGTTCCTCTATTCGACTTAGATACTTCAGAAACACTCTTTTATAGAGCTGCTTTCTCTGCTGCGAAACCCAGACGCACTTGCTCAAATAGTCCCAGGGGGTCATATCTAATGGTGTTAAACAATTGGCATTAATTTTGTTAGTGAGGAAATAATATTAACTAACTTTTTAGCTTGGCAAGATCCATGGGCACATCAAATCTGGTGGCTGATTTGGAAAACTTTCGCGGCATTTTAGATGTTGTTTCCGGAGGAACTTTATCTTCGACTGGTTTTGGGACAGCTTTAGGTTTGGGTGGCATGTACTTAATGGCTTCTCTAAGAGCTCGATTAAGCTTTAGTTCAAGAATAGAATACATTTTTAAAATTATAGAAATATTTTCAGGTTTTTAGTTAAAACTAACTTACATATCTTCCAAATGTGTTTTCTATTAGATCCACATCCAAATCAGTTTTCAGAGCCTGAAAGGCTTCGTCAGTTAAGAAACTTCCCTTCAAAAGAATCGGTTCACGTTCGGTCTCCCGTTTATCCTTGGGCAGTAGAGTTAGGGAGTTGGGTATCAAACTGGGCCTGGTACTAGGATTAAGAGAATCAGGACCCAAAGCAGCCACCTGAGTCTCTGGATCCTCACTCAGATGGAAAGTGGTGGTGGCTGTTATTTGGAAAGTGTGAAAATTTCTTTAAAGTTTTATTAGGATTTTGAAAATATATTATTATACCTTGAGCTGGCTTCAACTTCTTTCGTTTCTTGCCCCTGCGCACATCCTCGTCACTGAGTTCGTGCTCATTGATGCAGGTCTTGGGCTTGGCCTCCAGATCATTGACATCTCCTCCTGGAGCCAGGCTTGCAGTAGCTAGCGAAGATTTGGGTCTCTGCTCATTGGAAGGCTGCCTCTTTGGCTTCTTTTCCTCATTGGCACCTGCACTCTTGGGTTTCTTATCCTCCTCCAAACCGCTTTGGGTCAACTCTGAACTTGGTTTCCAGTAGAGAGTCTCCTGGGAGTGGGATCTCCGGAGATCCAATATGATTTTCTTTCTCTTGATATTTTCATGCTTTCCCCATTCCGGTGTTATGCATCGTCGATAAAAGGATCCAGCACTGGTTCTGGTATGAATACTTGTTACCGTGGGAGTTGGTGTCATGGGACGCGAATCTGTTTCCGCATATCTCCGGAATAGATCCTCTGGAATATTATCGGCCTCATGGGGTTGCAGTTCTGATTCCTCAGGAATTTTATCCGTTTTCCCATGCTGCTGACTTTTGCCCTCGATGGCCAGTGATGTCTTTAGCTGATTGATCACCTGCTTAACCCCAGATGGGGCAGGATGGTTGCACAGCACTGAACAGCCCTTGGCAAAGGGGTTGAAGAGTCCACCAAAAGGGCGTAATGAAAGCGGCATGGGCGTGGCCTCAAACTTGAGAGGCATACGCGAAATATCGCCATGCTGATTTTTGCGCTGTAAGTAAGTGACTGCCTATAATACATATATATATATCCTAAGAAGTGTCCTTACATTCTAATTTATATATAAATTATATGGTTTCCAAGGTTTTTGCATAGGTCTTTTTATTCCCTAAAATATTTTTTCCTACCTTTTTGAGATATCTGACATGCCTTTTGGGCGTGGGAACTAATCCCGTACGTGTTGTTGCGCTCATTTCTAGTTTTAAAATAAACTCTAAGTATCTAACTTAACTACAAACGCCGGGCATTTGGCATCCATAAACAATGTTTTCGTAGTTTCCATGGTTATCAACGGAGACGCCAATGTGTTTAATTATATTTATTGATTTTATGGAATTTATAGTTTGGGAAAATCAACTTCAGCAGGTACTAACTACTACTATGAATTATGTTTAGGAATAAAGATGTCCTACAGTTGCAAGCTACCTTAAAAGTTATTTCCTTTTGGGAGACTGCTCGGAGTTAAGAGAGAGTTTAATATATTCCCAAGGAAATTCTTAAGCAATATTAAAATCTTTTTTAATATATTTAACTAACTAAATATTTGACAAGAGTACCAATTCAGTGATTTTATTTATTAGAAATAGTTCTAGTTGGTCCTTTCTAGTCCTTTCATCCAATGATGTCAGACGACTTACCTGCGAAAAAATGAAAACCAAATTCAGAGGCTGCCATTATTTCACTTTTAATTAAAAACAAGGAAAATCATAAAATAATAACGTATATTTATTGTGTCTGTGCCTTAAAACTAACAACATTTGGGTTTTGAATAACGTAAGGAATACACTTTAGGAAGGAATAGAGTCGGGCAGTTGAGATGCTCAATTCTCAGTTCTCAGTAGAGGGAACCGCGATGATGCAAGTGCCTGAGGCGTTGATCCAGCAACTGACGTTCATTGGACAGTGAAATTGTCGAGGAGGAGCGATGCAGAACGGGCAGGATGGTGGCTCCATTGCCATGTGATCCTGACCCGTGAACGCCAACAGGACCCATCGCCTCCGATGGACCCAATCCAGCAGTATTACCCACCGCCCTAGATCTGAGTAGATGATTTCTTAACGGCGATTGCCGGCGCACTGAATTATTGAATGAGATCTGCAGGGACAGACGTTTCTGGGACAAGGAGGCCAGGTGTTCCGGTGACAATTCAATAACCTGTGGAGGAGCAGCTGCTGCTGTGGCGGCACTATAACTGGGCAGCGATGAGGTGGGCGAGGAGTTCCCACAACTACATGTGGCTATCGAGGCTATCGACACATTATCTGCCCCAGCATCTGCATTCGATATATTCGTCTCCACTAGGCTGTAACCCACTGCCTGCTCCTTGCCAGTCTCATTGCACTCGAATATCTTGATGATGGGCACCACAGCGGGGGTCAGAATAATTCCAGCCTTTCGGAACTCTTCCAAAGCATCGTCATAGGTTGGCAAGCCGGACACAATCGTATACGAGGGCAGTGACTCGGCCTCGTAGTCTGGCGGACAGCGACGGCAAATCTCAATCGTGGGATCACTGTGATTGGCACGGTCTGCAAAAGGTAAATAATGGAAAAACAGATAATCCGATTAGTACAGGGCGAAAAAAATGGGTCAACTAAAGGTGTAAAATAGTATTTTTCTTAAATTAAAGAAGCTTAAAGAATGTATTTGTTGAAATAAATACTAAAAAGCCAGTAAGAATTTCTGAATTTTGGAACTATAACTTTTTTATAAGCTTTGTTTCCGGTTAAAAACTGTTTTTATATTTAGCTCCATCGTTTCATGATTTATTAAAAAGCTCCGCTAAATAAAACTTGCTCGATTTTGTTCTGTTTTTTACTAGAATTCCCCTTCCTTTGTTTTACTCCCCCATATTCCGGCTCGCTATATATATCTGGCAGTCAAAGGAGAGAAAAAAAGAACAATCAGAATTATCAAATCAATTCCCCTTCTGCTGCCTTTTGGGACTTGCCACGGCAGCAAAGGCACTTAAATTGCTCCCAACCCCCTCCTGGAAAATGCTACCTTTAGTTTTTGGGGATGTTGCTGCGGATCTAAATGAAATTTTTATACCAAATACCGAATGCTTGTTCGTTTTAAAAGCTAGTAAAAAGCCCTAAAGGCGTCCAACTGCAAGCTGCGTCGCCACCCTTAAAAGTAGGCAACAAAAAACATTTATTGCAAGTGACCAGCAGGTGGATGGAGATAAATGTGGCTCCCGGGATAGAAAGGTCTCCTTCTCCACTACGAATCTTCCTCCCCCCAATCCCAGAAAAGGTGAGTCAGCAGCTAGAGTGATGGAGTACATGGACATGGAACTGTTGATGCGGCAAGCGTTTTCCCCGTGACGTGGTACAAGATTTTCAAGATTAGCCGCATGCTGGGTAGCTTTGGCAAATATTGAAAATGGCACACGCTTCGGTTCACACCCTTTATTTTGGATACTTTCGGGGATTTCAAAGCCTGCGGGTCGACATTTTCCAACATTTTCCGACATTTTCCGACATTTTCACACCCACATGAATGGACGTTCATTTTTTATGCAACGCTTTGTGAGCTTACGAAATTAAATTGATGATGCCCAAAAGGAGAAGCAGAAGAAGAAGGCGGGCGCACTGAAAGTGAAAACTCATTTTCGGATGGGGGTTTTTTCCGGGCTTGGATGCCGGGCCATATGGCATATGGACAACACCCCGGGGGAGCTGTCATCCCCCTTAACTCCATTTCGCACAACGTGCTTAAGCCTTTTTGTAATTTTCAATTGACTTTAGTTAATTATGGGCCGGCTTACATCGAGCTTAACGAGGGCATGACGATGGTTTTAAGTCGACGGGATACACTTTTGATTTTGCGACAGGTCGACAGTACTTGTAAAATCATTTCAGGGGAATTCTGGGTAGTAAAGTATTAAATAAGGATTTTTTGAGCTTAAAAGGGCTTAAGCTAAAGGGAAAACATTAAAAGATTTGCATTGCGGTAAAAGTAAACTTTACTTGATGTACTAGAGGAGCTATTGAAATGTCCACCATTTGGAAAACAATCTTGACAAGCAAGCATTCTATAGTTTTCCTTTAAGATAGGCTTTTCCCAACTTCCCTTAGCTTAAGTAGCCCGCCCCACACTTAGCCATAAAATGGCCATCTCAAACCGAAAAGGACGCTTCCTTGGCATGGCCACAACTACTTGGCTTGATGAACTGTCTGGGCCCATAATCCTGAGCCCCGGGACATACGCATTCAATTCCCCAAACGCAGCTTAGCACGACAATAAAATGAAGTGCAGCGCATAAAAAAAGCGAAAGCCGCTTGCCAAAATGAAACCAAAATAAACAAAGCCCAAAAGTGTAAGTGCGTTGTGCATAAAATATTCGCCACAAGTTATAAGCCAACAGCCAAAATGGACACCCAAATTTCCAACTAGTCAATATGCCAAAGGTCATGAAAGCGCCAGAAAAAAAACGTTCACAACAAAAACTTGTTTAGGATCAGGATTGAAACTACAGGTACACGGGAAAGAATTTAGAAACTTATTAAGATTAATTTATAATTTTTAAACTATTTTGGATCAATTGAATATCATTTATTGTTAACTATTTATAAAACCTATATCTTTACAGATCTAAAAATGAAAAGAAATGTTAATATTTATTGGGAAATATTTTTGGTTAGTGCAAGTACAGAGCATCTTAACCTAAGGCAAGCCATAGATATTTGGACGTTCTCACAACAACAACCGAAGTTAAACACACTTTATGTTGGGGCTTCGTTTTCGAGTTTCTTAAGGGGGGACTCCAATGGAGGAGCAGGATGAATCGCAGGAAGTGGGTGAGTAGATGGTTGGGTGGGTGTTTTGCGTTTTTTGTGGATTTGTGCGCCAAACCACTAAAGCGGAAAAAAGAAAACAAACGACATACAGCTCAGGCAACCAAAAGTGACGTGCCAAGGAAGATGACGATGGAAATGGTGAAGGCGATGGCGATGGCGACATGCCTGCCAGCAGACCGAAAAAAATGGATGGAAATGGAAAGGGGGAAGGGGGAAGGCTTTCCCTGGGTAGATACACTAGGAAAAAGGTAAAATGATATAACACGACTATATATGGCTTTGTTCTAAAGATTTTAAACTATATAACAGATATGTTTTCCATGCCATATTTAGCGAGGAAATCTTCAAATATATTTAAAACTTATAAAAAATATTTTACAACCCAATTTTTTTCAGTGCAAAACTGCTGGCAGACAGAGGCAAAAGCTCGAAGGCTTGCCGGGCACGTAAGCAGTTTATGCCCCACAACAGCCCTCCCCGCCACTGAAAGGGAGCCAAAAATAAAAGTTCAGCCCACATTTTTGGATGCTGCTGTCGTCCTTTGCCCTCCATGCCTTTCCATGTCCTTGGGGTTGGTAAACACGGCACCAAATTGCCGTTTAAATTTCTCCCCAATGTCTACGCCTGGGGCCAAAGCGGCCTTGAAACATTATTATGACTGTGACGCCACGCCCCAGCTCCGCCCTCCTCTGCCCCACCTGTTAAGCCTGCCCCAAGATCTCCATGGCTCCATGGGGTGTTTGGTGCTCCAATCCCCAGGACAACTTTATATTTGAAGTTGTGGCTGCCGCCGGCAGACAATTCCTGGGGAACAGTGAAGACAGGCGTTAAATGCTACCTATGCCTCCCCCAGGATTCCTCGGTCTGGATTTGGGGCGGTCTCTGATCCATGTCAAGGGTCTGGCCTGAACTGAGCATGCCGAGGGGTTACTCGGCTAACTTATGGACCTGTCTGCTGCTCCAGCCTCTCTGTTCTTTGTTTAACTAATTAAACTCTTGTAGCAGCGAGCATGCAAATACCGGGCCATAGCATTTTGGCCTTCATCGCAAAAACACGTGTCGGTCTGGCATGAAAATAAAAGAAGACAATGGAAAAGAATGTTTAGGCCCTAAACTAAACGCATGTCAGAATTGCATTGTTTTCTTTTGAGCCAAGAGACAAGAAAAATGATGTTGCCCAGGGCCAGGGATATGGACAAGATGGTATTAGTTCGAATTCAAGGGCTACCGAATGGACTACTATTTTTGGAAATATTTCGAAGCTTAAGTTTTTAAAAATAACTTTACTATGTAAAGCTTACTAAATGAATTTTTAAAGTACTTATTATTTCAATTACCTATTGTTATTATATAACCAAAAATATAGCTTTTTTAATAGTTTTTACTCTACCTTTTAAGGTCCAAAACTTTGGTTAAAATTTATTTTAAATTGACCATTTTTTCCTATAACATATTTGTTTTGGTTTTAAAAGTAATATTGAGATATTATATTGTTTAAATCTTAAATAGGCAATCCTACTTTCGAAACATTTCAAAAACAAAGACACAATTTTCGTTTAATTTTTTTTTTTTTTTTTTTTAATTTTTTCATGGCAAATAATTGTTGGAATCACATAGGCTCGACGGTAAATTTGTCGTTTTATGTTTGTACATTGGGTGTGTTTCCTGGACAAATGTCCCATCATGAGCAACTGTAGCGCATTAAAACTAACTGCTAAATTATTAGCAAGACAACCCATCCATCTCAAAGGGAAGGTCCTCGGTGGGTCCTTGCACACGAAAACAGAAATGAAGAAAAATTGCGGCTTGTCAGTGGAAGGCAGGAACAACAATAAAAAGGACAAAACCGACAACATGAAGACGTCTTCAGCATCTTCCGCTGTAGTAAACGAAACACGCGCCAGGAGCATTCAACATCCAAACATCCCAACAGGACGAAAAAGTAATAAGTGTGTCTATTTGTTTGCGAATATTTCATTTCCCGTGCCGTTTACTTTCTATCTTGGTTGGGAAAAGCGTGGAGAAAGCCGGCGACTGTCACGAAAGTCGCATTTCTCCCCTAAAACTAAATTATATAACCGTATATCAAATTTAGTCCTTGTTTATGTTTTTGCCCAAACAAATTCAATTTGAATTTGCAAAATATTACTTAAGCTGGGGTTAAACGATAAAACCATAAGATATCTCCTCGTGAGATTCTAAGAAATATGTACAAATATTTCGTCTGTCTGAAGGAAAGTACGTATTTCATGGTTTTGTTTGTTTTTTTGTTTTGTAGTTACATATCAGTTAGCTTTCTGTTATTTATAAATTTTAATACTGAAACAATAAATTCTCGTTTTCTTTTATTTAATTTGAGTAACTGCTGGTCGACCGCTTGATTTATGTACATTGAACTTGGTGAAAGTTCAACTAATACATAAAATGCAAACGGCGTGCGTAGGCAAAGGGAAGGAAGAAAAAAGTTAGTGTAATTTATAAAATGCAAGCCACACATGGTGCCTTTTGCCATGTGCTAGGCGCTGAATGTTATTAAAAACAATATAAACAACTTCCCGGTGGGTTTGTTGCCCCGGGTTCGGTTGTTTATGGTCGCCAGTGTGAGGGGCCATAGAAAACACGCCTTAAACCACAAAGTACCACTTTTCCTGCCTATTGGGCGGTTGTGCGGCAGTTGCGGAAATTTTCAAATTGACTTTTGCACATGTTACCGCCGTAGCGAAAATGCGGGCAAACAATGTAGCCAAAGTATGTTCCACTTAAATAAAAAGAAACATAGAACAATAGGCTTAAAGCTTATGCTTGTGTGCAAGTCAGTGTTGTCAAGATTGTTTGGGAAAAAAGTTAAAAGATCTACAAAAGAATTTATAGTAAAAGCTTGAAAGGAGCAACAAATTAAAAAACTTTTCCCTGCAGAAAGTTGAGTAATATTGTATGACGTAATCCTGTTTGTGTTTTGTCTAATGGATTAAGCATAATTAAAAAATTTTATTTTAATAGGCATTCTAGCGTTTTTTTTTTTCTGTTGGAATATTTGATATTTGTAATTATAATAATAAATATATAATATATCCCTACGTTAAGTATTTTTATTTTTAAATATTGCACAGAAATAATATATAATAATATATATATATAATAATTGTTTTACCATTTCTTAGAATAATAACTAAATAAATATATCCAAACGATCTGCACTGTCATGAGCTTTGCCCGTTATGTTAGCCACGAAGTAGTGCAAAAAGTAAGCGAAAAATACAAAAATAAGTGCATAGCAAAAACGTGCCAATTGAGCGCGTGAACGGAATTTACAAATAGTTTTCAGCTTCTGCGCCAAAAGTCAAATATCCATCAAAACGGCATTAGTGGCGGCAGCTGCTCTTTTATTTTAGCATTTCAGAGTTAGCGCTCCTTTTTTTTTATTTGAATTTTAGCGCCCTCTGGCACCCGCGACATGCAACACTGCCCTTAAGGGTGGAATTTTACAGCACTGTCCCGTTTAAACAGTGTTGCACACGATCACGCTCACTAATACGTGCGCAAACGTTTTTGCACGCTCGCACACACACGTACACCAACAAGGGTAAGAACGCGAAAAGAGCGAGGGAGAGCCAAAGAGAGCCAGAGAGAGCAGAAAAATAAAAATTTCCAGCGGCGTCGGTGGATTTGGTTTGTTCTCAACGCTGCGCCGCAGTTTCGTGTATTTGCCTGCTTTATTCCACTCCGATTTGTTAAAAGAAAAGCAAGCGTTCCATGTCAGACATGCTGAAAATGGCAAATGCTGCAAATCCACTGCAAACAATGAAGAAAACAAACGGCGACGAGGAGTCCGAGGAATCTGATATGGAAGAAGAGGAGGAAGAGGAAGAAGAGGAGGACGATCTGCCGGACGATGTGGTTCTCCAAATCGACAGCGAGGATGAGGCCGAGCTGGAAGCGCAACGCATCCGCTTGGTGGAAGAGGAAGCAGCAAAGACAACAAAAAAAGCAGAGAAAGAGAAACAGCAGCAGCAACAACAACAAGAGCAAGCGCAGGTCAGTAACGGTAAAGCAGAGCAGCTGGTGGAAACTGGTAAACCCAAACGCAAACCCCGTGGAAGGCCCAAGCGCAGGGTTTCCACTAGTTCTCAGGGTTCCAGCGTTGCTTCCCTCGCATCATGTGGCTCCCTGGTAGCCGCTCAAGTTCTGGCCGACGAGAAGTCACGTCGCTTCATCTATAGCTGTTCCAGCTGCACGCACCACTATGCCGACAATCTGATCCTCTCCAGACACTTTCGGCGGGAGCATGCCGAGAAGCCGAAGAGAAAGCGGGGAAAACCCAAAGCTTCTTCTCTTGAAGATCATGTGGTTACTCCTCCACTGAACCTTGACCCCCTAGAAATGGGTCACCTCAAGCCCTGCGCCCAGTTGCTTGTCCAAGGGGATTCTCTGCTGCAACTGTGCCTCGCCTGCAACTCTCAATTTGTGGATGAGCTACGCTTCCAGGAGCATCTCAGCCAACAGCATGGTTATTTCAAGCTAATGCTGCCCAAGGAGGAACCCACTGATCTCCCGCCGCATGCCATGGTCACCATTCCGGGGGCTCTGGCTTTAAGCAAGACCAATTCCCAGTTGCAGCTGCCCATTCCGGCTCCAGAAACTCCACCACCCGAACAGGATGTCAAGGAGCCAACAGGGAATGCCGTGTCGAATGACAAGGAGGATTTGGCTATGATCAATGCCATGGTGGCGCAGATGGCAGCCGAGCGCTTGAAGAAAACCAACAGTCCCAAGGTTAGTAAGATGATCATCAAGCTACCCACAAATAATAAAAGGGGCAGGAAGCGGACCAAACCGGAGAAGGTCAGGGACAACATAGAGCAGTCTGAGAAAAGCAGCGAGAGGAAGCAGAAGTCGGAGAAAAAAGCGAAAATAGATAAGGGGGAGGCCCAACAACAAGATTTGCAGCTATTTCCGGCGAAGAATTCTCATAAAGAGTTGGATCAGCTGCCACAGAAGTCTGCAATAAAGGAACAACAGAAGGTGGTTGGAAAGGGTCAGGATCATATTAAGAAAGATCTTGGGTCACCTGAAAAACTAATAGAAGAGCCCCATCATGTGGATAAAACAGAAAAGGATGACCTGCAGCCGCTTATAATTGATCTAAAGGATAAGCAACTACCAGAGATGTCTGCAAAGGAGCTTCAGTCTCCGGAAGAGAACCATCAGTTGGCAGAGACTTCTGTTAAGGAGAAACAGCCAGTCGCGCAGCCAGTTAAGGAGATTATATTGCCGGAGGAACCAGTTAAGGAGATGCAGCCACAGCAGTTGACCATTGAACAAGAATCACAAAATGATGGCAAAGATCAACAACAGCAGTTAAACCCAGGACAACCACTTCCAGAAGAATCTGCCAATTTGAAGAAGGTAGAGAAAGAGCATATGCAAGAGACAGAGCAGGATCAGCAGCATCTCGTTGAAGTAAGACTTTACTTAACTTGACCTAATGAACTTTCAATTAACACTATTTTATTACAGGAACCTTCCAATCCAGCAAAGCGCAAGCGTGGCCGAAAAGAGAACAAGTCACCCACACCCGTACTCATTCCGCTGGAAGACAAAGAAATCAAGGAGGAGCAAGAGATCACAGAGCGCCGTATGCGTAAGAGCCGAAGTCATGTAGACTATGTTGTGGAAATCAAGGATGAAGAAGAGGACGACGAGGAGGAGGAAGAGGTAGATGATGACTCCTCAGCTACTGTTTCGCCGCTGAACAGCTCAACGGACGAGAGTTTCACATCGATTAAACGTGAGTCATCCGAGGAGTCGCTTCAGAACGGAAATGCAGGCATACACACATGCAATTTCTGTGGCAAAACCTTCAAGCGTTTCTCGAGAATGCAAGATCACTTGCGCCTTCACACCGGAGAGAAACCCTTTGTGTGTGGACAATGTGGCAGGGCTTTCCGCTTGAAGATGCGTCTCGTAGAGCATCAATTGCGTCATCGCACCGAAAAGGCATACAAATGCGATATCTGTTCAATGCCACTGGCCACCAAGCAGGATCTTTCGCTGCATATGCGTCATCACAGGAACGATCGACGCTACAAGTGCGACAAATGTAATAAGGGATTCGTTCGCAGCTCAGATTTGTCCATCCACGTGCGCATTCATACAGGCGAAAAGCCATACAGTTGCGATATTTGCAGCAAGGCGTTCCGTGCTCGCCAGAATCTAGTAGTCCATCGACGCACTCATCTCGGCGACAAACCCATTCAGTGCGAGTTGTGTGACAAGCGTTTCGCCCGTAAGATTGACATGCGGGTGCACATGCGCAGGCACACAGGTGAAAAGCCCTATAATTGCGATCAATGTGAACGTGGCTACTCCTCCCGTGTGAATCTAATGCGTCATCAGGAGCGTGAGCATGGCAAGGAGGACAAGACCTCTGGAACTGCCAAGGCAACTAAAAGACGACGGGCTTCGTCAAAAGAAAAGGATCAAGAAAAAGATGCTATGGCAGGCAAGGCAGCAGCACGGCGTCCGCGACGCGAGAAGCTGCAGCAAAAGATTGCAGCCCAGGAGAAACTACTCAATGACCTGAAGCGCAGCTTAAGTGCTCTCCCCGAAATACCCGAGGAGGTTAGACCGGATGAAGCCGCCAAGGAGTTACCAGCAGATGCGGGAGCAGGCTGTGCCCAAGTACAAGTCACTGTGTCCATGCAAATGGAACCGGCACGCAGTCCCGAAGACGACGAGGAGATAACGCCGGAGAAGGAGAACGTTTTGTCCAGTTCGACAAGTGCCGATGGCAAATCGACAAAGGCAAACCGCAAGATCACCAGCTACTTTACCGTTGTGGGTCAACAGGCGGAAATCTAAAGACTTAAGTTCAGGGTCAGCAACACTTCTTACTCATTAACTTTTAAGATGCCACTGTACTTGGAAATGATGGAGACATTTCCCTAGCGTAGCGTACACCTCGCAATTTAACTTTTTTGGATTTAAAATGCAATCTTGCATCAGGGATCAAGTATTTTCTATATATTCTATATTTATATATTTACGAATTAATTTTTGAGAACCTACGGAGAAACGTTGTGAAGGACATTGAACCGAAAAAGAACAAGAAAAGACTACTTTTTAAAAGAAATATTGATATTTGATATGAAACAATCAAGCAAGAGACTGCAAAGATAAGGTATATATTTTTCTATAGACAGAGCAACTTTTGTGAACAAAATAAGTTAAACTATGTAAAAAAAAAATATCAATTAACTAGCAAGTAAGTTAGTAAGGGAAATGTTTGCAACCTCAAAAGCAAGTAAAATATTTTTGGAAACTCAAACTTAGCCGCCACTCGAATTTCGTTTAAACCGAATTGAAGTCTCAATCAACGATTTTTTTCATAAATAATTTGTAAACAAACCCCCCAAACGACAATTCAATCTTATCGAGCTTCAATATATCAGCAAAATATGATATTTATAAACAAATGCGCACACAACGATTCGAATTTGATTTGCAAACATTTTCCTTCGCCATTCCCCTCGCATTTATATGCCGAACAATCTGAAGAATATTTTACAATTTCATTTAATTTCGAAAAGCACATGAAATCAATTGCAAGTCATTTAGTATGCAATTTATATAAAATCTCCAATATATATACTCAAAATTCCACAAACAAATTTAGTTTTATGAATATAATTTAATCATTTTATTGTATAAGCAAATGAATTAACCTTGCGGAAAGAGGTTTTATATAATTTCCCTTGGTAAGAATTCTGAACTATCTCAGCTTTCTGCTAACTTTATATTTAATTTATATATATTTACGCATTTAATTTAACATATTTACTTAATTTCTCGAATCGTAAGCGTAGTGAAAAGACAATGCAAAAAGTCAGCAACGTTTATTTTTCAACATACACTGAACGCATTTTTTGTAAATTGAATTTGTGGCAGCTTCTCTCATTTTTTTAGCATCTAAGAGAGTCCAATGAATATACGTTACTTTATAATTTCACATTTGTCGTTGTTAATTTGATGCCACTTGCAATTTGTTGCGTCCGTGGTACTTCAACCCCCGAAAATTGCAATTATTTGAATGGGGGTGTGCGAGTTTTATGCTTTACGTTTATGGCTGACGACAACGAAAGGCAGCTGCTCCTGCTGCTGCTGCAGCCCTTGTCAATTTTTCAGCACTAACTATTGCTTGAGAGGATTGTTTTTGGTTTTGTGATGGAGTTGGGGTGATAAAAGGACCAAGGACCACAGAAAGACCCACCGACCGGAGAGTAAATGTCGAGCGGCAGTTTGTCATTTGTAATGGGGTTGTACACGCTTCATTTTGTAGTGCCAATGGGGGTTGATATGTGAGAGAGATAAATAAAGCCGGACAAATGGTGCTATGAGAGAGCTGAAGAGAGTGATTTATGCCTAGATCCAGGTGGAAGAGCAGAACCCTAAGCGATCGTTGAACCCCAACCGTTAGGATGATACCATAAAGATTGACAAAATTTCGAATATAAACTTCGAACTACCTTTCTGTTTCTGAAATGAATTTGTTTAGTGCTTTAAATTAAAGGATTTTTAAATAGATATATAGAAAAAAGTCAAAACAGAAATGAAAGAAGAAACTGATAAGTTTTTATATTCCCTTTGTGAGTGACATTTTCATTCCGCCCGGCATTCTTGTCTAAACAAAAACCAATTTCTTTCGCTCGCTTCGCATGCTTTGGCCATATGCTTATCATCTGGTCGCGGCAATGACAATTTATTTAGTTCTGGCTTTCAAACAAAAGCGCAGCCAAAGAAAAAAAAAATGCTAGAATCAGCAAATCAGCAGAGGCCAAATATGAGGAGAAAAGAGAATTTTGCTGGCTGCATGTTGGCTTTCAATGCAATATTACGCATACGAAGCGTGGTACCGCGTGCTTTGTTTGTGAGATTGTGCCAAAATACAAAACAAAAAAAAACAACGTAAAGAAAAACAAAAAGATAGTCAACGTGTGACACATACAACACACATGTGCACGGAAGTTGTGCATGTTGGTGTGTGCGAAAATATGCAAATTAAGTGTGGCGACTTTTGTTCTCGCCGTTTTTTGGTGTAGAAAGCGTAAAAAGCGAGCAAAAACTGTACGTATACACATTATTTGGGCTGGCGATTGTGGAAAGCAAAGCGCCGAAAAAAAAACGAGTATACGCCCCGTTGTACAGTCAGTCTGTCAGACTGCGTTCGTTGTGTTGTGTTCGTGTGCCGATCAAGCCTGCTCTCCACTCTCTTCTCTCCCCCCCTATATACACACTTCTTCTGCCCCCCTTTTGTTTTGTTTTGTTTTTGGTTCCGTCTCGTCAGCATTTTTACACTTTTATGTTGCTGGCTTTTAATTGAATTTCGCTTCAGCCTCAGACTTTGACTTCTTCTTCTGTTGTTTCTGCTGTTTCTTTTTCGCTGTGGTTAATTTTAAAACTACCCATAAAAGCCACACGCTGCGTTGACGTTGGCAGAGGCAATGGCAGCGGCTTTTGCCACTAATACAATAACATCCTGCCATCACTTTTATTCTGGATAAGAACTGAGAAAAAAGGGCAGTATCTAAGTTATACTTTAATTTTGATTAAACTTCATTCTTCTTTGGTAAATAAATGTAGGTAAAACTACATTTAAGTTCATTAAGTTAAATTTTCGGCAAGCTAATAAGAGCATTTTAAGATAGGGTGTTTTTATTTTTCTCTGTGTGGACTCTCTTTCATTTCACTCTCTCTCTCTCTCTCTCCGCTTTTGTTTTTGTTTGCTAAGTCTCTCTGCTGCCGCTGCGTTTCTTCTGCTCTTCTGCATTCTTCTTGCGGTCGTTAACTTGCAACTGAACGTGTTTTGTTGTTGTTGTTAATATTAGCCGCTTCTCTCTCCCGTTTGTTGTTATTGCCTCTCGCTTTATGTTCTAAGTTTTGCTCTCTCTAAAAAGTGCTTGTATTGGTGTTGTTGCTTGGCTTTGTTGATTTGTTTGCGCAGCTCTCATTGCTTTGTGTGTGAGGCGCTTTGCCATCGTACGGCAAATGAGAGAAAAAGAGAACTGGGAAGTTGTTCAACACTTAAGTAAAAGCGCGATTTTTAAAGAATTTAAAATGCCAACGGTGCGTATGAATAATGTTACTTATTTTAATTTTAAAATATTTGTAGTTTTTAATCACGTAAAAAAACAATGAAGTGTTTACATATTTTATTTAACTAAGAAAATACGTTTTTAAAATAAAAATTCCACAATTTATGGTAGGCAGAAAATAAAACCAAGAACCAACCCTAAAGGCTTCTGATTTCCCCCCCTTCAACTTAATCAGAAATGCATACAAAAAAACGTTTCAATAATTTAGGTCATAAATGAATTTCCGCACGAATAATGCTCAAACTGCATTTTTTATCAATAGTCATGGATTAATGTGATTAAAATGCAGAGAACCGCAAAATCAAATTAACAGTGAATTAATTCTTCTATGCGCAATATAATTGACTGGTTAAATATTTCTGTGATAGCAGGAATGCTATGCAACTTTCTTGGCTCAAATGAATTGTAAATTTACCATGCGATATATTCATAAGTCCTGCTGACAAGCCTCATCCACATGAAATGCATTAAAAATTATTTATCCATAAATCATGCAATCGTTAATAAATAAAAAAAATGCATTCGAGTTCATTTCCCGTTGACAGTGAAATGGCACATAAACAAACAAACAAAGTCGAAAACGTTAAAAAAACGTGGTAATAAAGGCAGAACAAAAAAATATATATATACATATAGCCAAATGCATAAATAAATCAGAGCAGCGGGGTAACACAACAATGCGGCCTGTCGCTCTGTCGAACAAACAAATATTCATAATTGTGAGAAAAAAAAGCCCAAAGTCAGCTCCCGCCAGTCTATCAATGGTGTGGGCGAGAGGTGAGAGTAGGTGAAAGGATGCTGGAGTACAACGTAAAAGCGAGTTGGACAGAGACTGCAACTAACCGCTGAATGTGCATAATTTATAAAGCTAATTAAACGCGCATTTAACTAATTAAAAATATAGCGCGCTTCAATTATTGAAATATGCTGCCCAATTATATGATGTAGTCCAGAGGAAATTTGCAATTAAAATATATGATTCCCTAGCCAAATCGAAATGCTCATCATGGCGTATACGTAACGCTAATCAAAGTGTATATTACGTATACGACATATTGACAGCGTGTGAGAGCGTGTTCAAGCTAATTCTGGTAGTGTTACTGCTGCCATTGCCTTTTTGGCTTTTAGCAACCAAATACTAATTGACATCTCGCTATGCCGCCTACATGCAGAGAGAGAGAGAGAGTGAGATATAGGTTGGAATAATAGGGCCGAAACACATGTCTATAGCTTTACAGTTAGAGCCTGCCACTACTGCTTGCCAATGCAAAAACAGTTTCAATTAAGCAATTAGCGCCATTGAAACAAATCCAACACGTTTTGTGGCTTATAAACTGAAGCATCATGTCGATTGGTTCGAGCCCTGCGGTCGAACGGTATGGAACCGGCAATAGGCCATCGGTTTCGGGGATTTTGTTTTCTGCGGCCATTCATTTAAGGCAATTAAAGGGTAATTGGGGTATACATGTTTGTTTGGGGATTGATTGATTGATGCGAAAATCTGTTTTGCCGAATGGAGAAAGAAATAAATTACAGTGAATCCTTTTTGAATATTTCATAATGTTGAAACTTTCTCAATTAAGAACTGTTTTCAGTTGTTTTTTAAGCCTAATCCACAGTATTTAACAGTCTAATCTATAATAGATAATACTGATTAGTATTTGCCTTATTACGTGCTTTGCTAATACAAATGCGAAATGCAATTTTAGTTACTGTTGCTAATTTGCGCAACATTTTTGGCCCGTTCAGTTAGCATATTTATGCGAATTTCGCGCTTCGATTCAATTTTAGCCACAAATCGAAAACAACAAATGCCATTTGCATATACATATATACGCATACGTGTTCAAAGTCTTGATCCTAAACATGGATATAAATATATTCACATATATACCTATACATGCGTAAGCAGCTTATGGCTTTGTTGTCTGCCGTGAAAACCATTCTGTATTGACGTCAGTGTTTTGCCCTCCTGCATTATATAAAGCAGCTTAATGCGAATCCAATGCGGATTTTTTGGGGGTACTGATGGCGAAAGTCGTATCCAATTCGATGAAGAATCGATGTCCCCCCCCCGCCGTGGACATTGGCCCTGTTGGCGATGATGCATCGCCATTGCCATTGCAATTTGCACTTTAATAAACCCGTTAAGGCACCGTGAACGTTAATTACATTTGCAAATTCAATCAATTTCGAACTGCCTAATTTAATTAACGAATCGCTAAGTTTTATTTTTGCGGCGTAGCCAAGTTAATTAAAATTGTAGCAGGACTTTCCATTACACTTTGGCAAGTCTTCTTGTTGAGATTTTAAAGTTTCCCCTCAGTATTAAGTTTAAGGTTTTTCTATTTATATTTCCATCATTTTATGACTTAATAGAATGAGGTTTATTTTTGGTGGCCTAACTTAATAATTTTTATGGCCCTTAAACACCTTATCTTTATTTGGTACTTCGGCACTTCAGTTAATTTGTATCACCCGCAAAAAGTTTAAAATTAATCCTAATCTTTATGGCCTTTTAATTGACCCAGAAGTTAGCAACTGTTTGAAAATTCCCAAATAACTGCTTTGTTTGCTGGAATTTTTGCCTCTGCTAATCCTTTTTTAATGTTAACATAATTTGTGGCCTAAAGGTCTTGGCCAAATACAAATATTAAACATGCATTTACTATTTAAAGCCTTTAATCAAACAAAACCGTTGAAGGGTGTCAGCTTAAAACAATAAGTGGTTCTGGCCAGGCCAACAGCGGAGAATTGGGAGGCAAATCAGTTAAAATAATAACAATGCAATGCCGCAACAATGACGGCGGTAGCAACAGTAAAAGCAACAACACAAAGATAAACAACTCATTAAAAGGAAATTAAACAGCCGTGAACCAAAACGAACGTCATGTCACGACCCGTCACTCATACGCACTGTTGTCCGGGCCTACGTGAGTGACGTTTCGCGGTTTGATAAAGACTCCCACTCTCTCTCTCTGCTTATTTCTTCAGAAAAATAACAGATTGATGCCACCAAAGGAAATTGAATAAACGCAGTGATATGAAAATCGCATCAGGGAAATGACAAATTTAAAATTCCTTTTGTTCTGCAAAAAATGTGAGTTTTCTCTGTAAAAAAACGTGTCTAGCCATTGGCTAACTACTAAAAATAAGATGGCTAAAATGTATAAGAAAGCGGTATCTTAGTTTGAGGAGGGGTGTGGTTTGGCAAAAGTATTTAGCAGCTTGCTGTGGACTCTGCTCGGTTGCCAAGTCGAACATTTTTGGTGGTTTCTAAAGTTTATTTGAAATAAACAACACCTGAAAAGTTCATAGAGAAAAGTGTTAGAAATAACCAAGCTTGGAAAGAGAGAAAAGTAGCACTTAAGTTGTTATATTTAAAGAAATATTTGTAGATTGAATAATTTAAGCTTAAAATATATACAAATTATGCAGTTTATGCCCCTAAGACAAACTTTAAGTACATTTTTTGATTCTAAAAGTCTTAGACTTCCTTAAAGCCTCTTCAATTTCAAAACTCCCTTAGCCAGCACTTGAAGTTCCTTTCATTTACCTTGGCAACAGAATTGCCATTGCGTTAGGCTTTATCAGTGCAAAAAGTCACTTACACATTTATTTTCCTAATGCCGAATGTTTGCTTGAGCCCATTAATGCTCGAGGTCTTTGACTTCCTGCACTTGACTTACATTCGCCCCTTATCGGGGGGAGGGCATTCGACTTGGTCAAACGAAAGAACTTGGCCGGCAGTCATTTTGACCATAAGCAAACAATTGACAGTCGACAGCCGACAGCCGAACAAGTCCAATGCAGGACATGAGAATTTTAATTAATTAACACAAATTTGCAGTGTAATAGAGAAAGAGAGAGAGAGAGAGAGAGACAAGCTGGAAGCAGAGCCATATTGGGCTCTCAAGATGTTGGCAAATGTAAACAACAGTAAGTGCTCGAGATTCTCACTCGAAATGGGCCACTTGACTGCAACTTTAATTAACTGGAAACGTTATGTTTGTTTTTGAAGCCAACGGCCAACGGCAAAGACAATGCCCAAAAGGCATCCAGAGAGATGGGGGTTCTTGAAAGATAAGAGCCAAAAGCAGTGTCTGGAAAGGGAGTGGGGGTGGGGCCCTGTTCTCCGCCCACTGTTTAATCAATGTAGTTGGAAATTTATTGGGCTAATTGCTTTATAATTTATAGGAGCATCGAAACCAGACAAAATATAATTAGGCCTCGCTTAGTACTCCCCTTTTGTACAGAGAAAAAGGGTTTCAAGGGTAACTTTTTAAGGGATTTAAGATAAGTTTTCTAACTTTTAATAATAATTAATTTTTATTTAAAAAAAGGAAGTTACTTATATTTCAAAATTGATTTAGGTATGAGTCTAAACTATCTACCTAAACGCTTAAGTCACTTTCTTTCCCTTAGTTTTCTGTCAAAAGTTAAGTAACATTAACCCTTTAATAATGTACTAATTTAAACATTACTTAAGTCCGCCTAACCTACTTTCTTTCTTTAACTAAAACCTAACTGATATTCAAAATATTTTCCCCAAGTGTATTTGGTTACTGTTCTGCGGCTTCTGATTATTATTTTGGCAAATTCGGTTCGGTGCAAACAGACAGCTCATAGAATAGACTCATGTATTGTTTATTAGCCGGCCAAGCTGTGAAATGACTTGTGCTCTTTTGGCCACTGTTTCCAAGTCACAAGATACGACTGTTTGTGGTATGTGCTAAATAAACACTAGCTGAAATTTCAATTCCCCCTTTTGCGTGAAGGTGAATCATACACCGCTGGGCCCGACTTTATTGTTTTTGGTTTTTTGTTTTTCTGCTTTTTTTTCCATTTGTTTTGGAAAAGTTCTTTTCTGGCGGCAGACTTTGCTTTTGGGTACTTTTGTTTATTTGTTTTTATCGGTTTCTATTTTTGTTTTTTATTTGTCTTGGCATTCGACGTTCAACGCTCAACGCTCAATGCTCTTCGCGTCAAAGTCCAGGTCTAAACGGGTTTTCCGCTGACGTTTAATTCAGCTTCAATGATTGTGCAATTTGATTTATGGATTACCGCGAATTTGAATTTTCAATAGTAATTGCTTATGTTTGATTTGCCAGGTATGTAAATATGAAAGTATATACTAAATGTAAACTGAGTTTAGCTGGATTATTATTCATTGATTGTTGATCTTTCGACGGTGATGAAATTTTAAAGGGTTGGCGGTAAAATATTTGACATTAAATCAGAGAAATATTAAGATGAAAAGTTGATTTCTCTCATTAATAATAAGGTACTAACTAATCACCCCCAAACTAAACCAGAAGTAATCCTAACAAAAAATCAAACTTTTAAATTCCAATATCACGTATACGCCCCTTTAGCCAAACTTACATGAATTCTTCCACTGCTGAAACTTGTGGTAGACAAAGCAAGCGCATATAAAGAATATCACAAAGACAATAAGCAGGGTAAGTATAACCCCTATCCAAATATCGCTGACCACATGAGCAAAGTCCTGGCCATCATCACCCGTATATATCCTCGATCCATGAGCTATATGTGGCGTAGGAGCCCTAGCAGCTGGCAATGAATCAAAAAGATCCTCGGCAGCATCAGCTACCTCATTCGCTGAGGCAGCACCACTCAAATTGATCTCAACCTCCTGGCGATCGATGGTGAAATTACCCAAGGCCGAGTCCAAGCCCAAGGCTAGCTGTTCCAGTTTATTAATCAATATGGAATAGTTCCCAGGCAAATCGAAACCGCCAAGATCAAGTTTTTCGCCACTATTGGCCTCTAAAGTAGTTGCCGTGCCATTGAGGCCTTCACTAAGAGTTGTGGACGTTGAAGTTGCCGTTGCAGTTGCAATCGTTAGGTTGCCAGTATCTTCGAGGCCTGCCAGCAGGTTGCCCGTGATATTCAAAGCTTTCAATAAATCAGACATAGTTTATATATTTTTTTTGTTGTTTTTTGTTTTGTTAAATATTATTTATCACTTTAAGCACATGTGTTTCTTTTTTAGTTTGCTTCTTAAACTCAGCCGCGATGCTGGAGCTTCATGGCGCGACTAAAAACGCCCGTCGAGTGTAAAGTTGCAAATTTGCTGGCCCGCTTTTTCTCGGCACTCCCGAATGGCATATAGATTTTGTATTATATATTTTTTTGTTTTTGTATTTAATCTTCTTTTACTACCATACTTTATGTCGTTTTTCACTTTTCAACTAATTGTGTTAACGCATCGGTGTTAATTCGCCTCACGCATCTCGTACGGTTTTCGTTGAAAATAGTATGCCGCTGCTCTGCCAGCCCGCTCTCATTGCTGATTTGTTGTACAAATATTGATCGTTGGTATTAAAGCTATCCTCCTCCTTACTATATATATATTTATTTACTGTTTGCTGATTTGCTGACTTGGGGGAATTTATCTTAGCAATAAACACATGCATCTCCTTCGGCTGTCCATGTCGGTGTGAGTTAATTTTTTATTGATTTGCCAAGTGGAAATGAGGGAAAACATTTGTCATACCAGAGATCACATCTCTGCTCTGTTTCGTTTAATCTCTGGCACTTTCGAGGCTGTAAAATCGCCTCATATTTGCTTGGCTAATTCGCAATTACACGTGAAGTGCATATAGTCCATAAAGCCCAAGGCAATGCACGTGTAACCTGCCAATTTTCATTTTATTTTTCAAGGGGATTACTTAATGTAGGGGTGTAAATCCTATAAGTTCTTGAGCTTAAAAAGAAATATTTAAAAAATCAACAGTTTGTTTTTCTCTTACAAAAGGCAATAAATATGAAAAATATAAGAAAACTTTTTTAAAAATTTCCAAATTTTTATCTCAAGTAAATGGAAGTTGTGGGAAATCAGATTATGAATGACTTTTTAACTTTAGGAATATCAAATTTTATTTAATTTGTATTTCATTTATAATCTCATCTCAACTTCTTAGCCTTTCTTTTTAAATTACCTTTGATTAGCCTTAAAAAACTGAAAAAGGCTTAAGTTTACCCCCTCAATCAGATAATTTTCCTAGTCCTAAACCGCACAGCCATCTCGGTTAATGGCAGACGAGTGTTCTATATTTAGAACAGCTTCAATAACAGTCAATTAGGCCGCTTGTTGTCAGCATCTATAAACATTAATTAAAACTGGCAGAGCCCTATTGAATTTCACTACAGATATCTGGCTATATATATCTATATATATTTTAAGTAGTCCAGACTGAGAGTATATGCAATTACTGAATAAATCAAGCGGAAAACTTTTCGCTTTCAACACCTTTGCATACAAAATAATTGGAAGCTTATGAATAGCAGATCAGAGTGGCAGCTGATAATGCTAATACGGTCTATCTATATGTATAAAGATTGAAAGAAGCAGGTGATTGATTGACAACTCAATTTAATTTTATTAAAAAAATGGGTTATAGTTTATAGTGGCAGTTCAATTTGATTGATAACTTGATGAAAAAACTGACAAAAGTTGCTGCTGATAGCTTGTCATTTTTGATAATTTTTGTTGACATTAAAATGGCTTTTAAAAATCTTATAAAAAATCCCAGAAATGTATTAATACTTAAAATAACTTCTTTTATTCATATTTATCATATTTTCTTTTAATAATTTTCCCTATACCTAAACCAAGTTCAAGTTTTCTCTAATTTATGGAAATCTCAGCAAATCAGCAAACATGCAATATTGAAAAGTAGGAAGTTCCTCCCTTTTGCCTTTCATTACTCACTCACTTTCTTATAGACAAAGTCTATAAATCATTTTCCTTAACTAGTTTATAGATCTTTACTAAATCACTTAATGATTAACAAAAAAGTACTTGGCGCCAATAGTTTTTTTTTGTTAATTTTTCACTTAATTTTCACGACCTTTATCAACAATTACAACTCGCGGAGTACTTTTCGACGTTTGTTTTTGTTTTGCCAAATGAACCGAACTCGCGCGCTTGTTTACAACAATTAAAACTGCTTTCTTGCGTCTTGCAATTATAGCCACGTTAACAGCGAGAAGTTAACTGCCGCCAGCGTTGACAGCGCTACGCTGACTGCGACCGCAAAATATCGCTCCAAAAGGCAGAGACTGTTGGCAAACAAAACCGAATGAATGAACTGACTAAGTGACTAAGTGACTAGTTGACTAACTGACTGACTGACTGACTGAAAGACCAAGCCTAGGCAGATGCTCAGATTGAGATACAGAGGCAGATTCAGATTCAGATTGAGCTATGTCTGGCATAAACTGCTTCTGACGTGAAGATGCCAGTAAAAAAAAACAAAAATGAAATAAACTAAGACAACGTCATTGGATGGATCCGGAGGCAAAGTTGACACTTAGAATTAAAATTATTAACTAAATTTTTATAAAAAAATAAGACATTCCTAAACGTCTGAAGATTTAGAGAAGATTTATTGAGTTTTTTTATTACTTTCCTTCTTTTAATTGTAACTCAAAAATGTTAAATGCTATTAAAAGTTCATTTTGCGGTTAACAAATTTTAAGAATATTTTATATTTTTTATATTATTAAAATAAACCCTTAAACTATGTTAGTGTCTTTTAGATGAGTTTCCAAACTTATTACCTTAAGCAAAAGCTAGCATTATGTTTTTTTTCGAAGTGTATTAGCTCAGCTAAATCTAGCAAATCAGTAATAATTCCAAGACGATTGCAGCAACTGCCTTAGCTTGATTGTAGATTTTTTTTTGATTTATTTGTTGGTGATTTGTTATGATTTAAAGATCATGATTTCTTTAAAGATAGCTCTTATTTTATAAGATTATTTATAGCCTCACTAAAAGGGTAAAAATCTTTCTAAGACTTGCTTACTTACAGACTTTTTAAGTTAATATTTATTGTTACCAATAACCTTTTCATATAAACCTATAAACTAAAATTTCTAATTCCTACAATATTGCATTCAATATTCTATCTAGTTCCAGGCTATTTCCATTTATAATATTTATGAAAAGTTCAAGATTTTTATTCTAATCAACACGTAACTATTCCTACTACCGGTTCCATTTTCCACAACCAACCATTTCTCACAAATTATTGTTTATTTATTTATTAATATATTCTGTCTATACTGAAAAGTAATTGCAATCTACAAAGCAATGTTATTTATTTGTATTTGATTAGAAAACTGATTAGTTTCGATTTCCCTTTAAGCTCATCTAATTACTAATAAGACTGGAGATTGTTTATATAATTTTAACTTTATTTTAAACACATTCTATGACCAACTATAAAACACATTAAGAGCACAGAGAGCAGCTTTAATGCATTTGATTCATTTCTGTTTGCATTTCAACTGGAAAATATCTGGAATGCTTCTTCTAATCCGTACATGCATATTTCATGTTTATTGCATATCATTTACATTTAATTTTATGCATTGGAATTATGCTGGCCAAATGTGAGCATTTCATGGACAATTTACCAGCCAGGCTTTTCATTAGATTTTCTGCACAAATTTGTTTGCCAAAATGCAGTGCCTTGTTTTATTATCCTTTTTTTTTTTTGGGAGGGTTTATTAAAATTTGCATTTAATTATTTCATTTGATTATTTGCAATTTAGTGACCGCAGCAGCACTTTTGCTCCCGTTACTATAAGTCTCGAAATGCAAATTGCACTTTAATGCAATGCCATAAAAGTAGCAACGAAAGTGGCTTTTGTCTATGTAGTTAGTGGTAGTAATTTTTCTGGTCTTTTGCGGTTGTCAACTATTTGTAAATCACAAATTGAAACGTTATGATTATGAATTTTCCATTTGCTAATATTGACTTTGTGTGTGTGTTTTGCTCGTATTTATGAGCATCAATTGCAATTAGCATTCTGCACTGGCTTAGTGACGCATGATTAGAGCTTTATCAATTTCGAATTATTCTATTGATATTAGCACTTAAACCTGGCACACTGTTTGCCCTCAAAGGGGGTCTACTTAATCGCTTTTGAAGAGCCTTTGTCCGAGGGTTTCTATCAATGCGATTAATGAAAATCAATCAACAATTTAGTACAATCAAAATAAACCCCTTTTTTTGCGCTTTAAATGGTGAAATTACTAAAAACCTAAATTGAATGAAAATAATTGGGTTAAATGAGAGAGAGAGAGAGAGAGGTTTGTTTGGGAAAATAGAACAAGTTATTGTTTTAAAATTAAATAAATAAATATTTATTATTATTTCTAGATATCTTTTGTTGGGCATTCCCCCTGGGCCAGGCCACTTGCCTCCACTATTAATCTGAAGCATGTTAGGCGCACTCATGATTTATTTGGAGTAGCCGGTTGCATTGTTTGTCACGGCGATTCCTTATCTCGAGTGGCTCACCAATCATCTTGGCAGCTCATACTCGTATGTCAGATTGCTATTTACGTTCTACATTAAACATGTGCTAAATACTCATTTTGCTTTAAAGCAAAAAGTTAAACAACAAATTTGCTTTTGTTTTTAAATGTCGCTTCGTTTCGGTTCCAGCTGGTATTTAGCATGCTCTCTACATTAGCTTGGCAGTAAAACTTCGGAAGTCATAATTATTTATTTACAGATGCAGGCAAGGGAATTTTTGCGGTTAATTTGTTTTTATTTATGTTAAAAAAAATTTTGCTAGTAGTTTTAAAAATTATGAAAATAAGTTTTGTTATATGAAAACTTCAATTATTTTATTTATAAATAGTTTTTTAAGTTAAAAAGGAATTTTTATATATATTATTACATTTTTGAAATTTCTTAAATTTAATTTTTTTTACATATTTTTTATGTATTTTGTTATATTTTTTTTAACAAAATATGAAATTTCTAAGATTTTTGTCCTCCAAGCAATTTGCTAAGATCATTTTAATAATTTTTACAAAAAAAAATATTTTTTTTTTCTGAATTTTTTTTTTTTATTTTTGAAAGTTAAACTTAATATCGTAAAAGGTGTCTTCCTTATTTCTAATTAAACTCACCACGCCAATATCAATCCATAGCATAGATCTCAACCTTTAATGTCCAGCCAGGGTTGTGTTTCTTGCTAACTGCCAACCCAATTAGACTAATTAGATCAGGAAACTCACCCTCGCAAAAAGCAAACTCACCACATAAATTAAGAAATTCCCAAAAATAAACCATAAAAACAGGAATGTGTGAATTTAATATTTTGAATTTTGCGTGCCAGACGCCGGTTGGTAAAATTAAACAAAAAAAAAAATACGAACAGGTGTGAACCGGTTGCGCATGCGCAAGGCAGAATAATCAAGTGACACGGCTCACGTGATGACTTCAAAATTACACGAAACCAGTTTTTTTTTTTGCACTATAATTAACCATATTATATAGCCATGCTGTTGCCAAGAGCTTAGACTGAACCACAAATGAGGTCAACAATTATAATGGGCCGCCAAGGAGTCTGGTGATAAGATCGCGATAAAATGAGAATTTCAAACTCATAAATCCATCACCTTTGGAATTTGATGTCGTCTGGATGTATAGATTACCGCTTAACCGCTTGAAAGTTCACAGTCATGCTGATTAAGGCGTCAATTAAGTAACTCTTGAATGGTTCATCGTGCCTGTGATTAACCTTACTGGTATTTCCTATGTCAGTTCCCCCACATAAGATACGATACGCTACGATCCGATACGATATAAAAACTCCAGCCAGTTGAATATACTTGGTAAATAGTCAGCGTTATTTGCGCTTAACTCGGGGTAAAAGGTGGGCAAACAAAGGAAGTGCGCGGGCATGGCAGCCGCCTGTAATGCACTTAATTATAGGCTTCTGAGTAAGCGGGGTCTTTGAACGCAGACTGTGAACGCTTACAAAGATAATGCTACTGCATTATGAAATAGTTAGGTAAGGTTTTTAGACCAAGATAATGATACATAGAATGTGTAGAGAGATTGGTTAAATTATAAGAAATTTTACATAGCAGAAAATTAGAATTTAAGAAGATTTAGAAAAGTCAACAGCGAAATAGTTTGAAGACTTTATGGTTTTTGGGTTTAATTTAAAAATATATATTAAGAGCTGAATTTAATTTCCTCTTTTGATTTTGTTAGCACTCATTTTCTGAGAACTACATATTTTTTCTAGGTTTATTTATTTAATGAAACATTTTTAGTTACTCATTTTTATTCATCCTAGCACAAAGCTCAAGGCGGAAGGCGATTACTGTTTATTTGGGGATTGTAAGACAGCTTAAAAGGCATTCTGAAATGCGCAATTACATATTATCAAATAACTTTGATAAGAAGCAATAGATAAGATAAGATAGCGACTTAATTAAAAATGGAAAAGGTTTAATTATGTTAAAAAAAAAACCAACGTTCAATGCAAAACTATAATATGTTCCTTGTGCCCTTTTAAGTAATTCTACTTTTAAGATTTACCTCATAAGAAATAGAAAATTAGATAGAAACCCTAAGGAAAACACAGGAAAAATCCAATTAAATATTCAATAATAGTTCAATAACCCTGAAATCCCTTTGCATAAAAGTACTTTTAATCTCCCAAGGCTAGAAGAAAACCTTCTTCCCCCTAAGAACCCATGTAGAACCCCTTAGTACCCTCCATCACTCCATCACTCTAAACACTAACATAAATACCTTCCGTTAGATCCCTCTCAATAGACAACCCTATCGCAACAATCTTTTATCCAAACACAACAAGCCGCATCCTCAACCTAACCGACCCCTTCCAACAAATGCCGTCAGTTGTTTTGTTGGTAGAAGATACTCCTCCGGCGGAGATGTTCCACCAGATAGCCCGGTTTCCCGGTTCTTTGGTTCCTTTAAGCCAATTTGTAAACCATCAAATCGCGTTAAATGCGCTTTTCCGGTCGCGGCCTCTTTTTACTCTTTTATCTGCCGAGTGACTGCCGGCGTTGAGGGGAAAATCTCATTGTTATTGTTTTGCTTGCTAAACGGAAATGGTTAGGCTGACAGCCGCTGTGTGTGTATCCTTTTTCGGCTTTGCACCTCCGACAGGTACAAGGACGACATATGCCTTGATAAGGATGCAATCGTTTGGGCTTCTTTTTTGCTCTCAACTTATTGATTTGTTTACCTTTGGGCCATTGCCTTTGTCAGCTGATACTTTCTATGTTCTATGAGAACGGAAATTGAAAAGCAACGAGTTTTTCTCTAACCATATTTCCCAAAGAGGATTGTCACCAAGCTAGTACTAAACTATGCTCTTCATGCCTTTTTAGAACTTCCGTTGCCATACGAATGACCCAAAAACCGTGGCCAATGCAATGCTCTGGCTCATAAACAGTAGCCAGTTGGTAAGGTCGGTTTTTGGCCCGGTTTTCTGTTCATAAAATGCTTGAAAAATGAGCGTGTAATTTACGAGCTGTTTGTCAACAATGCTGGAAAATCTATTTCCTATTTTATGAGTCCAAAGAACCAAGAAAATAGGGACCGTAACTGACCAACGGCGAACTAATGAGGCTTTTTTGATCGTTTCCGCTGTGGTATTGAATAAATTTAAATACTCATTAAGGTCGAATATTAAAGCAATCGTCTTAGTGTCAGAAGGTGAGACAGTTTCTCATTAATTTTCTTATTTAATTGGGGAAAATACCTGAGGAAATGAGGAAGTTCTAGTTCTGAGTTAGGGTTGGTTAGGGGCGGAAATTATAGAGCACTGCCAACTTATAGAGC